GTTTGTCATAGATGGCTTTTATCAGATTGAGATAAAGATCACTTATTCCAATTTTTTGTAGGGTTTTTATCATGAATCAGTCCCGGACTTTGTCAAAAGCTTTTTCTGCATCTATTGAAATGACCGTATGGTTTTTGCCTGTGGTTCTAATATGGTGTATTACATTTGTTGATTTACACATGCTGAACCATCCCTGCATCCTTGAGTCCAACTGGGTATGTAATTTAAAAGTAAATTTCTACTCTCATTTTCAGAGAACTAAGTTCTTTCATACATTAATTATGGTAAATAACTTCTTGGCATCAATTTTTCTTATCCTAACAATTAAAATAGCTTTTTATTAATAAAATTTAGATGTATTTGTAAAGCTAATTCACAAAAAGTTCTGTGTATTCATGCATAACTCTAGAATTTATTCACAAATTTTAATAATTTCTAACTAAAATTTTGATCAGTTACTTAAATTTTCTAAATAACTGTAAAGTATACATAGGAAAGCTATTGAGTTGGGTATAATATTTTTATTTTTAATTAAGTTAGAATTCTCTCCTCAATAGATTTTCACCTGATCTCTTCTGATTTAATGATAAAATTTGTATCAAAGAAAATTAGACAATACTTTCACTTCACAGTTTGTAAATTCCAATCCAAGTTTTCTTCCTTCAAATATGTATACATGTAATTTTACCTATATCTACTATCATATGAATATGTGCATACTCACATGTTTAGCATTGATCATTCTACATTGATATGCATGTCTAAAAGGTAAGAATTCTGTATTTATGAACTACTGACTTTATCACCACCTGGAATGCATATACATTTGTCTGTGTGTCTATGTGTCTGTATACTGCACAGTAGGTGTTCCTCACTGTGTGATGATGAGATAACAGAAGTTGTAGGGAGGAGGAGGCCCCAGGGGGCCTGGCTAGGTGGTGAAGGGGAGGCAGCCCCAGACTTCATCCTTTATGCTCCTGGTATTCAAGGGCCCTGAGGACAGGCCCTCACCCCCGGACCCTGGCGAATCAGGGAAGCTCATCTCTAGGGGAATTACATCACATCATCCCATGTCCCAGACTGAGCAGAGAGCATACAAAGGCTCTGTTATCTCCAAACCAGGGGCCTTTGTTCTCACCAAACCTGAGCTCCTGGGTCCCAGTTAATTTTGCTCCAGTGGGACTCAGACGTAAGACCTGAACTCACACAACCCACTGTGCCTGCCTGGTGCCCACAGCGCTTAGTTCATGGTGTCTGCTCGTGGGCTGAGAGTCCCTGCATTTCCTGTCAGTCTCCCCAATGTCGAGTGTGATATATGAAAAAATGATCATTCCACATCTATAGATATGACATTTTCATGTCATTTTCTTTTTCTATCACATGACTGGGATGGAATGCATTAATTGTTTTTTTGAAAGTTAAATAAGTGTACATATATGGGATAAATCTCACTTCTTGCACCGCATAATTCTTTTTATAAATCGTGGCTCTCAACTGTCCAGCACAGTCAGTATCACAGATGACAGGGTGTGTTCTGAGGAAGCCTCATGGGGTTATTTTCATCACTGTGCAGACCCCAGCGACAGAGTGTGTGTACACTGACTACTGTGACTATGATACCACAAGGTGACCATCTAGTGACACAACCATCATGCATGTGGTCTGTCGTTGAAGGAAACGTCTTTATATGGCACACTAACAAGTTGTGTTCAGGATTCTGCAACCACGACCATAAAAGTGTTGTTCTGTGGTTTCCTGTTCTAGCAATGCCTTTGTCTGCTTTGGTATCGGAATAAACCCAGTTGGTCGAATGAGTTAGACAATGTCCTTCTACTTCTAGCCTTTGAAACAGAGAGCAGAGAATCATAAATTCTTAAAGCCTGGTAGAATTCACCTGTGCGCCACCTGTGGCTTCCTTTCTTCACGGAGACCTGACTAGCTGATCGATGTTGCTGTCTTCTTATTTTTAAGAGGTTGATCATTTTCAGATCAAGGGGCTGGGGATTTAGCTCAGTGGCACAACGCCTGCCTGGCAAGTGTAAGGTTGTGTGTTCGATTCCTGGTACTGGAAAAAAAACAAACAAAAAAATCATTTTCAGATCATTTCATCAGTGCATGGTTCCAGTATGTAATGTGTGCATTTCTCCCAGGAAGCTGGCACCTGGACATCACACTTCTAAATTCCTTTTTCATTCCCCTTCCCACACCTCCCTCATTCTGTTGATCCCCTTCCCAAGTGACAAAGCTTTGTCCCCCTACTTCTTATTATCTTTTATTTTGCTCTTTCTTTATATTTTGAGTTTCTCATATAAGAGAAACCATACAATATTTAAGCTTATGTGGCTGATTTATTTCACTTAACATGGTTTCAAGATGCATCCATTTATCTACAAGTGACTCAAGATTGTCTTTCATTAAGGCAGAGTAGTGCTCCATTGCATGTAAATACCACATTTTCTTTATCATTCTTCTGTGGATGGACACATAGGCCACTGCCAAGATTTATCTGTTATGAATTGTGCAGCTATAAACATGGCCATACATGTACTACAGTAATCTGATGTCTCCCTTTTTGGGGAAGATACCTAGAAGGGGTAATAGGGCAAGAGAGACTCTGTTTTCTGTTTTAACTCCACATTAAGGGATGTCACATAAGTTCACTTAAGCTGTAGTTGACCTCACTGTTTACTCCCTCCCCTTGGTTAGTTATCATCTCATTTAAAGGAGAGCAGAGGGGCTGGGGATTTAGCTCAGAGGCAAAAGCGCCTGCCTGGCAAGCGCGAGGTCGTGAGTTCGGTTCCCGGTACCGGAGAAAAAACCAAAAAATAAAAAAATAAAAAATAAATAAAGGAGAGCAGAGTCATAAAATGGGAACAGGACAAACAGGACAAATTGGGAAGTAGGCTAAAAGTTAAACTGCGATGGTCAACTTCTGGGAAAGGTAAACTTTGTAACCATTATGTGACATTCTTGTAAAATTCCCAAAAATTAGATAATGGTTACTATGGAAACCTAAAAATGTACTTAAATAGAAGATGAGACCCAGATTGGGTCAGACATCTTCTCTGGCTCCTGTTTAGAGACTGTCCATCAGCTGGCTCAATAAAGCTTTTTTTTTCCTGCTCTTTCAGTCTCTTGTGAATATCGGTCTCATTGAACTCACTGCCATATTCAGGAAATAGCTGAGTGAAAGAGAATTCCTACTTTCAATTTCTTAGCTAATATCCACACTGGTTTCCACAGTGTTTACACTGCTCACAAATTCTGTCAAAAATTGCTTGTTTGAGAAAGTTTTCCTTTCTTTTTCCACTGTGCAGGATAATTTCTCAGGATTGAAGAGTATAGGTTGATCATTTATTTCTGTCATCCCTTGAACTATCCCACAACACTCTTCCTAACTGCACAGTTTCTGAGAAGTCCTGTGCAGTTCTTATCTTTGTCCTGGTATACCTGAGGTATGTATCCCCACTCTCTTGGCTTCTTTCAAGGTTTTGTCACTGTCTTTGATGTCCTGCAGTCTGAGATCACAAGGTTGGTGACATTTTCCTGTGTTTACCCAGGGTGGTGCTCCCTGAGCTCCCTGGATCTGTGGTTTCATGCTGGACCTCAACTTGGAGAGATTTTCAGTCATGGTCTCCAACCATCATCTGCTTCCTTCTCCTTTCTGCCCCACTGGATCTGCCATGACATCGGTGTCACCCTTTCCCCTTCGATCCTTCAATATTCTGATATGGTTTCTCAGTCCTTGTTCCTGTCCAGTTCTGAGTTCCTATGATACATCCCCAGGCTTAGAGGTTTCCTCCTGGTCATATCTAGTCTACTATCACCCACAGCAAGGCATCGCTGTGTTCACTAGAGGGTGTTTGGATCTCTGTGGCCACATCCACGTTCTCTTTTGGGTTCCCATCCATCCACGGGCACAGCCCAGCTGTTCTTGCTGCTGTTGGTGTGTCCATCACTGTTGCTCTAAATCCCTCGTCTGACAAGTCCAGATTCTCTTCCTTGTCTCATTGTTCTATCCTTCAAACCACTTTTTCCCTTTGGACCTGCTTTGTAGTATATTTTGGACAGCTAGACTGACTTCCCAGATGAAGGAAGCTGCTCTCACCAGGAGTTAGTGATGCTCTGGTGACATGAAGGGACCTACCTCTTCCCTGCTCTGAAAAGTGACCATAGCTGAGCCTCCCCTTGTCCAGGCACTATTCACTATTCCCATACCTGCTCTAGGAGTGAGGTGAGTAGAGCAGACTGCTGCTGAGGAAGCTGAGGCTCAGAAAGAGATGCTCAGGTGCAGGCAACATGGACAGAAAATGATGATTGGGACAAAATTTAAAACAGCCATCACCCAACGCAGGAGGATTCTACCCAGGAAGCAGGGACTCTGAGGCTGTGAGAATGGCTCAGAACCTTGTTCACAGGGAGATGGAACTGGACTCAGTGTACTGAAAACTGGAAGTCCATAAAGGGGAGAGTTTAACACTGGAAACCCGAACATGCAGTCAGGAAATGAGCAACTTTGCTTGGCGTCTCCTTCTGATCCTATCCCCAGGATGCAGCTCCAGTGAGCTGCACAGTCAAGGCTCAGCACATCTTGCTGTCGTTCACCTGCAGCAGGAACCTGCATCTTCCCTGGAGCATCTCCAGGGCTGGGAAACAACTGCCATGATGAGGAGCACCATGCTGTGCAGATGGATGGGCTGAGGGAGGGAGGAGAACCGTGGGAGGGTCTGAGGGGGAGGACCAGCCCTGGCAACCATCCCTGGAAGGGGCCAGCTCAGCACATTTCCCAGTCTGTTCACTGCTGTGTCCTGAAACTTAGGGACACAAGGACAAAACAGGAAGATTCTGAAGGCAGAAAAAAATGCGTGGTATTTCATGCCTGGCCAGCCCTGTGGATTGTGAGGAGGGAAGTTCAAATTCCTGTGGGGCTGATGATGTGACAATCCCAAAATGGGCAGAACCCACCACCAAGTAGCCACACCCCATGTGTCTGTGTGACCTGCCAGGCAGTGAGGTCACAGCCATCTGCAGAGCCATGACCAGTGGTTGGAGACACCATGACCCCCACCCTCACAGCCTTGTTCTGCCTGGGTGAGAAGGGAAGAGGGGAGGGTCAGCCTCATTTGGGAGGGCGACCACCCAAAGCCAGACCCTGGTCCATCAGGAGACCAGGGCTCAGGAGGCTCTGGGGAGGAGAGGAGCTGCTCAGGCCCCAGGGCGAACCTCTCACAGGGAACTCTCTTCCAGGGCTGAGTCTGGGACCCAGGACCCGAGCACAGGCAGGTGAGTATGTCCCAGGCTGTCCTGGGTCCTCCTCCTCCTGGGGACAGGGGGCCACGCCTGGGCAGTGGGGATGGAGCACAGCAGGTGTGTTGAGGCACTTGGAGGTGTAGAGGGTCCTGGGGCTGAGAGCTGGGATCTGAGAGGACGAGAAAGGGCCTGATGCCCAGCTGTGATTTCCTTGCAGAAACCCTCCCCATACCCAGGCTCTGGGCTGAGCCAGGAACTGTGATACCACGGGGGAAGCCTGTGACGCTCTGGTGTGAGGGGATCCTAGAGGCCCAGCAGTACTATCTGGAAAAGGAGAAAATACCAGTGCCCTGGGAAACAAAGATGACCCTGGAGTCTGGGAACAAGGCCAATTTCTCCATCCCATCCATGGCCCAGCACTATGCAGGACAATATGACTGTTACTATCTGAGCCCTTCTGGCTTATCACTGCACAGTGACCCCCTGGAGCTGGTGGTGACAGGTGAGAGGACAGTCAGGGTCCCAGCCCCAGGCTCTGCCCTCAGGAAGGGCTCTGCTCTCAGGAGTGTCCCCCTCTCACAGCCCAGCTCTGGCAACAGTGCAGGAGGTGTGAGTCCATTTCTCACGCTGCCCCCTTCTCTCCTAGGAATCTACCGCAAACCCAGACTTTCAGCCCTGCCCAGCCCTGTGGTGCCTGCAGGAGGGAATGTGACCCTCCAGTGTGGCTCACGGGTGGGATTTGACAGATTTATTCTGACTGAGGAAGGAGAAAACAAGCCGTCTTGGACAGTGGAGTCACAACGAGGCCGCAGGGGACAGGTCCAGGCCCCATTCCGGGTGGGCCCTGTGACTCCCGGTCACCAGTGGATATTCAGATGCTATGGCTTTGTCTGGAGCATACCGCAGGTGTGGTCAGAGCCCAGTGAGCCCCTGGAGCTGGTGATCGCAGGTGCGCTGCCTGTGACCGCAGCATGGCTGAGCTCAGGATCCCTCTGTGCCATCTCCCAGGACAGCTCTGGGGTGGGTGGGCATAAAGGGCTCTGGGGAGGACCACCCAGAAGGGACTATTGCTAGTCACATCATCTCCTCCCATTCTTTCTCTCTGGAATATGCCTGTGGGCAGAGGCCAGTCTCAGAATGGCCACAACACAGGTAGAGGAAAGGACAGAGGTCCATTCCTGGGGCAGCCCAGCCCTATATCCCCCTCAAGTCCTCATCCCCAGGGTGGGCCCCACCCCGCCCTCAGCACCCAGCTCCACAGCAGGTGGGTCTCAGGCTCTGTCCCAGTGACCTGTCTCCAGGCTGCCTGCAGACTCTGGGCCCATCTCAGTCCTGGTTCCAGTCTCAGCTCCCCTGGTGTCCAGGGATAGAGAAGCGGGAAAGGAACCATGATACCCAGAGGCTGGGAATCCAGGTTGCATGGGCTGGTTTCAAAGCTGAGGGAGATGTTGGGGTCCAGCCTGGGAGAGGAGAAGCAGTTGAAGTGGGGAGCAGGGAGAACAGCCTCTCCTCTCCCCATCCTTCCTAAGAGGCCCTCAAGATTAGCCCCTCACGCCAGAGTCCAGACCCCAGGGTGGTGAGTGAGGGCACTGTTGGGAGGTGGGCAGGGCACAGCTGGGCTGTGGAGCTGCTGCAGCCTCCTCGGGAGACGCTGACTCGGACAAGCCCCTCCTGTGCGGGCCTCAGTTTCTCCAGGGGTAAAAGGGAGGCCTGGCCCCGACCTTCAAGTTCCTCTTGTGCTGACCTTGCTGTGAGCCCTGGAGAGGCGGCCTCCCAGGGAAGCTTCCAGCACCCCAGGTTGCAAGGCTCCTGTCCCTCTGTGCAGTGATGGTGACAGTGTGCTGGGAGGGCGCAGGGCCAGGGCAGGGTGTCCAGGCTCCTTCCCTCCAGATCAGGAGGCTCAGCTCTGCTGGAGAGAGCCGGAAGTCCGGCCCCCAGTGTTCATCCCCCTTTGGGCTTCTTGTTGGTTCCCTGGGTTGGTAGCTCCCCTGTCTCAGTCTCACTCTCCTCCTTGGTGGCCTGCATGGGGGGTGGTGACCCTGCGTGCAGAACTGTGAGAGTGTGAAGAGGGGAATGCAAAGACCCCGTGCTGGCTGTGCACATCAGGTGCTCAGTGAAGTGACATTTTTGTCTTCAAGGCAGCACCCTTGGCCAAGTCCTGCAAGGGTACTTGAAGGTCCTGGTCGGTGTCTCCATGCCCTCCTCCCTGCTGCTCCTCCTCCTCCTCCTCTTCTTTCGATACTGGCAACAGGAAAGAAGCAGGAAGGCAGGTGAGCAGGGAGGGTGAGACCTCAGAAAGCTGTGGGTGCTGTAGTCACAAGGAAAACTGTCCCAGGAGACAAGGCTGCATAGAATCTCCTATGCAGAGCCCAGAGCAGAGAATCCAGACAGAGCACACGGCGCTGTCCTGTGGGAGTCTGGTGTGATCTGATCTTTTCCACCTCAGGCCGCCTCAGCTGTCTGGTCGGTGTGGTCTGAGGCTTCCTCCCGCCCTGCCTGGCCTGTGGACTGGGTGGTTCTGACCTCCTGGCTGAGGGCCTGCCCACCTCCCAGCCCAGAGAGAGGCTGACTTCTCACTTCCTGCAGGGGCCACAGGGCAAGCATCCTGGGACAGAGGCCTGCGGAAGAGGTCATTCCTGCCCTAGGACCCAGATTCCCCTCCTGCCACCCCTTACCGCCACCTGACACCCCCTTGTTTCTGCAGCTCCAGCCCAGCTGCTGCCACCCAGAAAGAAAACCTCTGTGAGAGGAAGAGGGGCTGGAGTGGTAGACGCCCCAAGGTCTCAGCATCACAGGGCCAAGGAGAGGCTGGGGCTCAGGCCTGAGTCTGACTAAACCCCAACACTGGGTCTAGGGGAATCACACAGCTCCTGGCTCTGTGTCCCCAGCTGGACGGGGCAGGGCCTGTGGGGCTGAGAGACCCCGGGACACTGGCCACGAGGTGACCCCTCTTCTGTCCCTGCAGATGCTGCTATGAAGGACACAGAGCCTGAGGACAGGGCAGAGCTGGACGCTCAGGTGAGACCCCCCCCCATCCAGGGCACAAACTTCCTGTCCCCCAGTTCAGTCCAGGGCGCTGCTCCGTCCTCCACCACTCAGCTCTCGGGGACCTCAGAGCTGTGCCTCCCTTCTGGAAGCCCCGGCCTCCGCCTGCTGTGACCCCACCCTCTGCTGGTTTCCTGTGACTTGGGGTCCCCTCCCTCTGTCCCCTTCCTGGCCCTCAGCCTCTGTCTGCCTGTTCCCTGTCCCGGGTGTCAGAAGGACCCTGAGTGAATGAGCACCTCACACCCCGAGGCCCCTCCCTCGTTCATGCAGCATTCATGGAGTGGGGGGCTCTGCCTGACCTGGCTCCGTCGGGGCTGCAGATACAGCAGTGAGCACAGCCCCTTCCTGCCCTGAGTCACCTTGAGGTGGGAGGCCAGTGTCGGAGAGCACAGAGCTGGGAAAGAACATAAAGCCGAGAAAGGGGTGGAAGGGCAGGAGAGCCAGTAAGAATCACCCGGAGGACCCTGGTAAGATGACCGCTGAGCAGAATACTGCGTGGAGAGGTTCCACATGGACCTGTAACGTGCCCACACTGCAGGAAGGGCACAAGGCGAGTGCAAAGGCTCTCAGGCAGGAACGGGCTCCTTCAGAAAGATGGGCCCTGTGAGTAGAGCCCGGCGAGCAGTGTCCGAGTGTCAGGATTCGAAGACAGCACAGCAAGAAGGAAGCAACCAGACCTCCAAGGCCTTATGAAGCCCCTAAAAGTCCATGAGAAAGGGACAGAGTCTGGTTTAATTTCTAAAGGATCCCTCTGGCCCCCATTGTGAAAATGGATGGAGGAGACCAGCGTGGAACAAAGGAGACCCCGTCTCTGTCTCTGTCTCCCCGCTGCAGAGCCCACCTGGTGAGGACCCCCAGAGAGTGCCGTATGCCCAGGAGAAGCACTCAGAACCCGGGAGAGAGGCCTCCCTTCCTTCAACCATGTCAGGGGAGCTCCTGGACACCAAGGATGGACAGGCGGGGGAGGCCAGGAAGATGGACACTGAGGTGGGTCCCACACTCCTCAGACCCCAGGCTTCCCCTGTCCCGAGCACAAACCTCTCCTCTCCCCATCTCCCCTGCAGAACTCTGTTCCTGAGGGTCCCGAGGACGTGACCTACACCCAGCCGGGCAGCTGGACGCTTAGACAGGGGACAGCTGCACATCCTTCCTCCCAGGATGGGACCCTCCCAGCAGAGCCCAGTGTGTAAGCTGCTCTGTTAGAGACACCTAACAGAGACCTCCAGAGATCCTGAGACCTTCCGAGGCTCACCTGACTCTAGTCAGAGAGAGCTCACACCTCTGTGCGCTGGAAATAAAACCAGAGATTCTTCAATAATTACTGAGTGATAAGAGAAGTGAAACCAAGGGAGAGAATGTTTGAAATGAATAATGTTGATAACATGGTCCAACACAACTAGGAAATAAGGTAATTAAGAACTACGGATAAATATATTCGAGAACACTCTGTAAAAATCATTGAGCCAAGATGTGACATCAAAACCCTAGAAAAAGAGTGTGAAATAACTCTAAATACGGTACAAGAAAAATTAATAATATTAGTTACTAACGAAGAGTTTAAAAGAGTTGACACACATTTCAACATCACAAAATAGCAGACATCAAGACAGATCACATATGTGTTTTATAGACATAACTACAGGATATTATCAATAACTTTCTGCCAACATCTCACAAGATGTAGATGACATGGATGAAATCCCCCACACACAAATTACTCAGTGGAGATAAAGATAAACAGAAAATATGAATTATCTCATGTGTGTTGAGCACTTTGACCTTGTAATTAAAACACTTCCCTGTGCAAATTGTAGTTCAGTAATCTTTGTTGCTAATATCTTTCACTTTCAAGAAATACAAATCACAAACTTCCACAGGCATTTCTTGCAAACAGAAAAAATAGAAAAGCCCAACATATTTATCAGACCAGGAAAATTATTATACCAAGAGTTGACAAGGAAACTGCAAAATGGGAAAGTCACGTGCAGAACTCCCACATCCACCTAGATTTGAGTCCCTGAAAAGAGCACTTCGGTCAGAAGTGGTGGCCCTCGCCTGTCACCTCAGCTACTTGGGAGGTAGAGGCAGGAAGGCCCAAAGCTTGAGCCCAGCCCGGACAACTCAGCAAGACCCTGTCAGGAAATAAATCAAGAAGGGCTGGGGACAGAAATAAGTGCTCTCTGTGTTCAATCCAAAGTCACCCCTCAAAAAAATAGAACAATTTTCAAGGATATACGTAAAAGAAAATACCTCATGATAATACACATGGGGTTTTTAAAATTTGTTTTAGTTTGAAAGGCAAGAGTAGCTTAAAATTTAAAAGTACGTAGACATAATGGGACACATTCACACTACTCGCAAAAGTATGCTATCAATAGGTGCAGAGAAGCCTTTCATAAATCACTCGTAATAAAAATAAAAGTCATCACACTGAAGGAGAATTTGCCACCAGTTACAAGATTGTTTAAAAATCCCTCCCCCTCCACCTAGCGTGAGACCCTGACTCTGCCCCCAGGCGGGGAACAGCCCGAGGATGCTCCCTGTGGGCTTCTCTTCAGCACAGCCGGTTACACAAGCGCGGCTGGAGAGCGCGGGTGTGGGTGAGCGTCACACTGCGTCACTCACAGCCAGACAATAGTGTGAATGGGACATAAAATGACACAAAGTCACTTTTCTCAAATCAAAAAGGGGCGTTTTCAACATCCCTGGGATGCTAGGCCAGTATGCCCTGATCAGCTGCACATCACACTTCCAGCTCTGGGCGGAGATAAAGTGGAAGGATGTCTCTCCACTCCTTTGACTTTACCCAAAGAGGCTGGTTTGGACACAGGACCTCTCAAGTTGTAAGATAACACATTTGCTTTGATTTCACTATTGTTTGTGGTCATTTGTTATAGCAGCAACCAAGAAATGAATACAGTCACATACTTTTTCACAATGTCTCAGGGTTTGGTTTGGTTTGGCTTGGTTTGGTTTGATTTGATTTGATTTGGTTTTTGTTGTTTTGGTTTGGTTTGGTTTTTGGTTTTTTGAGGCAGGTCTCATTATGTAGTTCAGGCTGGCCTCAAACTCATGGCAGTCCCGCCTCATCCTCCAAAGTGCTGAGATTATCAGCATGTGCCACTGTGCCAGACATGTCTCAAGTTTTTAGACAGAACATCTCATGACCATTTCTCCAATCACAGTACCTAGGTACCTGTGAAATCAATGAGAATAAGAAATAGAGACACATGATGTTCTGGGAGGCTAGGATGTAGGGATAGGTCCCTTGGTCAGGTGTTGGCCTAGCATCACACTGGGTTATCCTCTTTAAAATGGATAAGATGGACAACCTGGAGCTGGCACTGCCATTCTGGTGCTCTCCTCAATTCAGTGCTCTTTTTCTAGACCCAGATAGACCTAGACACAGAAATGCACAGATGTTGCCACAGCTTTAGCTGTCCCTCCTAAGCTCATGCTGTAACTTGGTCTCCAGTGTGGTAGTATTAAGAGGTGGGTCCTCCAGGGAAATGATTAACTATGAAAACTCTGGCCTCACAGATCAGATTAATCAGGGTGTGAGCTGAAGGGGTCCTACTTGCCCTTCTGCGGTATGAGCTGCCATCTTGGATGCAGACAGCAGATGC